GGCTGGCTCAGTCTGTGGAGCGTGTGACTCTTGATCTCGGGGTGGTGAGTTTGAGTCTCTTGTTGGGCATAGAGTTTACCTAAAAAAAAAAAAAAAAAAGACTCCTCTGACTGCAGACTGTGTGCGGTGAGGGCAGAGCAGGGAGATCTGGGGATAGACAACAGCTCAGGTCCAGGGAGTGATGATGGGGCCAGGACTGAGATGGTGCCCGTGGCGGCGATGAGAAGTGGTCAGAAATTGAGAAGGGAGGAGGGGAAAACAGTAAGACAACTGAAGGAAAGGAGGCAGGAAGAAGCAGGGGACTAAAGGATGAGGAGAGAGGAATCCATGACCTTTGGCTGTGAGCTGGGCAGGAGAGGAGGATTGAGGTGCGGGGTGGCGTGGGGGACACGGAGTCACAGGAGGAGTGGATGTGGGAAAAGAGGCCAAATTAGTGTCTGGGATGCCTGTTGGACAATGCAGGGATGAGGTCCACGAGGCAATGATAATAATTATATTATAGTAAAATAACTACCACAGAGCTCTCTGGTTACATTATTCGTCACTCATCAAATATTTACTGAACACTGCGGACACAGCACCAGCAGAGACAGACAAGAGTCCTTGCCTTCATGGGGCTGATGATCTGTTGGCAGGGGACTAGAGAAATTAATGGATCAAGAAATACTTATTTATTTATTTATTTATTTAAAATTAGCTCTACGCCCAAATGGGGCCCGAACCCCCGAGATAAGGGTCGCATACTCCACCGACTGAGCCAGGCAGGCGCCCCCAGAAATACAGTCTAATATCAGGTAGTGGTAAATCCTCCGGGGGAGGAAGGTGGAATATAACAGGGCAAAGGGATAGAGAAGGGGAGATCATGTTGGAGAGAGTCTGACGTCCAGGAAGGACTTTATAAATATTTGTTAAAGCCTCAGTGACAGAAAGTGGATGGTTGATTTAGTATGTCTTTAGGTCTCGAGATCATCTAGTTATCTTCCAAAGATTCCACGAAGTGAGTTTCTCCCGTCATGTAGCGGAGGAAACTGCGGTAGTGGGGTACCTTAATGACTCCCAAATACAGCGATGGAAATCCAACCAAGAACCGAGAGGGAACCCCCAGGTGGGAAAAAACAAAAAACAAAAACCCGCTCAAGGGCCGGGAAACGGTCATTTACTGGGGAGGGCAGAGAGAGGCGGGGTTGGGGGGAAGCAGAGCGCGCGCATTGACCTATGACGTCATCGGGACGTTAGCTAGCGTAACATCACCTGGACGTAGCCCCATTTCCCTTCCCGGACAGGTCCTCTGGTACTCCCGGACCGTCTGAATCAAGCCTATCATTGGTTACTCGTTCCATCAATCTGTTTCATTCTTACAGTCTTCCGCCCCGCCTTCGAGAGCCCACCTCTGATAGGCTGATGCAGCCGTCACTTCAGAAAGGTCCGCATTCCTTCCGCCTTTCTCCAGGAGACCGAAGGCGAGGAGGGTGGATCCCAGGCGGCGCCCACCCTTGAGGCTCTGCTTCTGCCTGTGATTGGCTGCCCTGGGTGCCGGTCGCTACGCCACCCGCCTCTGATTGGTCATCCAGCCGCCGCTCTGCGCGGCGCCGGCTCCGCCCCCGTCGGGTGTTTGTGGTGGGGCTGCGGAGTCGCCGATCCCGCCGGAAGCGCCAGGACAATGGGGACCAGGGACGACGAGTACGACTATCTATTCAAAGGTGCGGTCTGTGGGACAGAGACGGGCGAGCGCACGGCGGCAAGGCGGCGGGCAGGCGGGTTGAGGCTGCGCTCCAGGCCGCTAGGCCCAGGCCGGAGTCCGGGACTTGGGGCCCAGCGGGTTAGGCAGCGGGGAAGGCCGGGGCAGTTTGGGCTCGGTCAGCTTTGGGCTGGAGTGCGCGGCCGTTCGGAGCGGGCGTCCCAGAGAGGCCTGGGGGCCCTGGATGCGCCGAGGCGGGGCCGGGGCCCAGAGGGGGTGGGGCCCCAAGCGGTGGGAGAGGCCGTTAGGGGCGGGGCCTCCGGGGGCGGGGCCTCCCCAGCATTTGGCGGGCCGACTGGGTGGAAAGCTCCATTCGTGGTGGGGGCGGGGCCATCGGAGGCGGGGCTAGGGCGTAGTGGGCGTGTCCAAGAAATGGGCTGGCTCTGGGCAGGTGGGGGTGATTCTCTCACGGAGTGGGAGGAGCCGGTCCTGATTGGCGGCGGCATGTCTGGGGGCGGTGCCTGGGAAGGGAGAGGACGCGAGGGGATGAGGCGTGTGGTGGGGGACCCTGGATTGGGGACCCTGGATTGGGGTGCTGACCCAGAATTGCGTGGAAGGGGCGCCTGGCGGGGGGACTGTGTGTGCTGGACCCAGGCTTGGTGGTTAACAGTAACCACCAGTTATTATCTTTTGAACTCTTAGAACTCTTAATAGAACCACCAAAGTACCTGCCCTTCTCTAAGCACTTCACGAATTCATTGGAATGCTCACCCCAACCCTGTGAGGTCGTCGATAGTATCCAGCCTCTCTCTGTGGACCTGGAAACCGAGACCCAGAGAGACAGGGCACATTTGAAAAGTGTTGGAGCGGGATTTGAACCCAGGTCAGCTCTGGGCTTTACCACCTAAGGAGTATATGTGGGACTAAGCCTGTTAGACCACCTCCCCCAACACATGGGCACCGATGGGCTGGCCTTCGGCCAACCTGCTAGAGGATCGTCCCTGCCCAAGGGACAGAGGGTTCTAGGAGCCAAAAGTGCCGCCGTGGCAGGTCAGACAGCCACTGCCGGCCTAGCTCCCTCGCCCTGCCGCTCAAGCTGGGGAGACTCCCTCCACATCGCTGGGGGTGTGGACTGACCTAAGTCACTGGCTTTAGAGGTGCCTGGCTGGTTCAGTCTAGCATGCAACGCTTGATCTCTGGGTTGTAAGTTGGAGCCCCACTTTGGGTGTAGAGATTACTTAAAAACAAAATCTTAAAAAAAAAGAAAAAAAGAGTCACTGGCTTCACAGTGCCTTCTGTGCCAACCTGGGCTTTGGCCAGGCCCGGGGCTGTCTGTTTTGAGCTCCCTGGCTGACAGTGGTTGCCCTTGATAGCTAACCCTGGGCCCGCATGAAGCACCTTTGTCCTGCTGCCTGCCGTGTGAGGGTCTGCCTCCCACACCAGCGGTTGACATTGTCCCCTCGTTGGGGAAGCCTGGCTATCTCTGGGAGTGCGGTCCGTGTCCATCACTGACCGTTGTGCCTGTGTTATCATCCCACACATTGGTGCCGGAAGCCTGGGGACCTTGGAGATGTGGAGAGCGGGGTGGAGCACTCCCTACCTGGGATATCCATGTGGTGAAAGGCTTCTGGGCTGGGGGAGTGCCCACACAGAGGCCCAGAGTTGTCACGTGGCACCGTGGGCCCCGGGGAGCTGTGTGCAGGCTCATAAGTCACTGGCAGGTGAAGCTGTGTGGTCAGCAGGTATCAGGCCAAGGTCCTGGTGCCGACTTGCCCTGGGGTCTCACGTTAGAGTCAGGGGAAGCTCTTCTGTCAGTCCCCCAAAGGGACTGGCCACCGGTGGACGGGACTCTATCCTGCTGTGGCTGGGGCCCTGAGGCCTCTGCTCCCCAGGTCCTGGTTGCAGGGCAGGGGGCCTTAAGCCCAGTCGTCAACCTCCAAGCTTCTGGAGCCATTGCCCACTTGTTATTTTCAGCCGCTTGCTGTTACAAATAACCCAGCTCGAGTGTTTGCACTAGTCATCTTTTGCCCTTTGGGTTATTTCCTTGAAGTATGTTCCCAGAAGTCCAGTTACTGGGTCAGGGGCAATGGAGCGACTGTGTGCTTCCCGGGACTCATCTCCAGGGTACTCTTCCTGGAAGCCCAGATCTGGCTTCAGCGGCAACTGGCACAGGGCGGGGGTATGGGTGGGGGCTGCCTGCCCCGCTGCCCTCTCCCCTCAGCCTACTTTTCTGAGTCATTCAGGGTTAGAAGTGAAAGTTGAACCCACAAGGTCAGTATTTCCCAAACCGCGGGCATCTGAGACCTCACGTTCACATGTGTGTCTTGTTGGAGGTCTCCCTATTATCTCTGCATATTTCTCTTGAAATCCACTCAGTTTTTCACTCCAACGGGAGAAGGAAACTGTGTGGGTCTGGCACATACTCCTTACCTCGAGGCTCCCCAGCCCCATCACCTAGTCCAAGGGGCCCTTCAGGAGGGGAGGAGCAGTGATCATCATGCCCCCAACCCTGTGCTCAGCCTCCCCCAGTCTTTAGTCACCTTCTGGCCCTTCCCTTGGCACGGAGGCGCCACACTTCTCACTTGGGACGCTGACTGCCCCCTGCTTAGCCCTCCCGCCACCGCCTTGGTTGGTTTGGCCGCCACATCACACGGTGGCTCCCCTGACCTCCCAAGACCAAGGCCAGCAGATCCCCCTGGGTGTTTTCCCCACGTGCTGTTTATTTTCCTCACTGCGCTTTCCCCCTTCCCCCAGGAGTGAGGTTGTTTATTTGTACCTAATTATAGATCCTCATGTTCAGCCTGCTAACATTTTATCCTGACAGCTATGGGCCATTTTCCCAACCTGCAGATCAGCCCCTGGGGGCTGCCCTGATCTCTCTTGGCTTGGACCAGGCTGCGGGATCCACAGTGGGAGCAGCTATGTCCCCAAGGGCCACCAAGGACTTCCTGGAGCCCCCAGCCACTCACCTGGCCTCTGAGGATGTGGGTTGAAGTGGGAAGCTGCTGTGGTAGCCCAGGACCTTGTCCCCTGGGCTTTGCCCACCCCTGTGCCATCCATGAGTCCTTTTGGGAAAGGGGGTGAGGAGAGAGTAGCAGCCAGCGCCCAGGGAACAGGCCAGCCCCATGCTCACCCTCCTCTGCTGAGTGCTCCTGAGGTAGCCTCCTTGCTCTCCAGCCTGGGCAGGGCCCCCACCAGACCCCCTGGTAAGGACCAGAGCACGCCACCTTCCCCCATTGGCCCATGGTGGCCTTGTCTGTGCCCTGGCTTTGGGCCCCGATCTGTCCTCCGCTCTGATTCCCCGGGATATAACTGTGGCAGGATTGCCCTCAAGTGCCAGTCTCTGGGGCCTGCGATGGTCAGGGCTGGCTTCCTGGGGTGGGGGGGAAGCAGGGGCCTGCTCTGCCTGGAGTAGGGGAGCCAGCACCCCCCCCCAAATGGCCACAGTCTACCTGAGTGTCAGCGTGTGGGCCCCAGGGGTGCCACACTGTCATGAGGCAGGTCGGAGGACCCAGGGCTTCAAGAGGTGCCAGCTCTTTATTTTTGCCAACTGGGCTTGCCTGCTCTGCCAGCCAAGTAGCATGTCCAGGGGAGCCGTTTCCCAGCCAGTGATGCCACCGACTTCTGTGGAAATTCTAGGGGCTGTGTCCTCAAGGGCCCTTTATTTCCCCAAGACAACAGATCACTTGTGCCTTGGACAATGCTGTTCTCATTCCTAGCCCTCACATGGGGCCAGCCTGGCCACTGCCCCACTGGCCACCTCCCTGCATCAGGCACCGTGGGCCAGGGGCGGGCCGGCAGTTCATCTGTGCAGTGGCTGGGGGCTCTCATCTTGCTCTGGCCTCCACTTTCTCACTGGGTGACCCTGGGCCAGGAACTTGGTCACTCCAGGCCGAGTGGCCCCCAGCTGCACAAGGGGAAGGATAATACGAACATTCGCTCCTGGGATGGCCCTGAGAACGCAATCACAAAGCCTTCAGGGCTGGGCCTGGCCCGAGGTGCTGAGGAGATTGTTGGCTAGGCCAGGGCAGAGTTGAGGGGGCCAAGGCTGGCAAGGGAGGGAGGGGATGGGGGTGGCCATACAGGGCAGAGCCCAGAAGGGACCCTCCTGCTCATTTCCTGTTCCATTCCCGAGGGCGTACGCATTGTGAGCCAGCCTCTCCAGCCTTGGCCAGGTCCCAGTGGCCACGCGGGAAGGAGGTGAGGGGTTGGGGGTGTGGGTGGTGGGCTCCACAGCGTGGGTGAGAGTCACAGGCCCTTGTCCATCTCCACCTCTTTCCACCTTCTCCGAGGTCGGCTCGCAGTCTTCCGTTGGGCACCTACATTGTCAAGAGAACACCTGCCTTGTTATCCCAGGTCATGGAGGCCAGGTCACATGGTGGTTTGAAGGGAGAGGAGAGGCCTGACTTGAGGGGTTTTGAAGGATGAGCAGGAGTTTACCCACTACTCCGAGGGTCAGGATGCCCCAGATGGTGGGAGAGGAGGAGGCTGGACCCAGATCCCCGAGCTTAGCTCTGGATGCGGGAGACATGGGTTCAGATCCTGACAAACCACTTTCCAGCCAGGTGGCCCTGGGCAAGTCACTGTCTGGTGAGCGGGGTTGGGAGGTAGGAGCAGGCCTGCAAACAGGCATGTGCTCACAGTGCCTGGGGCTCGGCATTCTCCTGCTTCCTCTTGTAAAGGTTACATGAGACTTGTGTGAGGTGGTGCACATCGAGGGCTTTCTTAGGACAGACTCATTAAACATTCTTGTTCTTAGTCTTCTGGGGGCTGCCTTACCTGCCCCTTCCTCCTCTGTGGCCTGAGGATGGTAACCTGGGTGGGGGGAGCTGTGGAGGAAAGGCCGGCGGGGAGGGGGGTGGGCTTTTAAGAGGATGGCAGCGAGGGCCTGCCTCCTCGATCGAGTGCCATCTGAGGGACCACACTGAGGAGGGGAGCGCAGACAGCAGGCAGGTACCCGGGCAAGAATGTCCAGGCAAAGTGCAGCGTGGCCCTGTCTAGCTTCGAGTTCCAGTGAGGAGGCCCCTGTGGCTGGAGCAGAGTGGGCGAGGGGGAGAGAGGGAGGGCAGGGAGGGCATGGGGCAGGTGGTGCAAGGCCCTCTGGGCCTCTGGGAGGATTTGGACTTTTACATCTGGGAGGTGGGAGCCCTGGAGGGCTGTGGGCAGAGCAGTGGTGGGAGCCACTCAGGTGCTCACAGGCGCCCTCTGGTGGCCTCCAGGAGAACAGCCTGGTGCTTGGCTATGAGAGTAACCACAAGGACCCCAGGAGAGGTGCCGGTGGTGTGGCCCCAGGTGGGGCAGTGAAGGTGGTCAGAAGCCGTGGGAATTTGGCCATGCACATATACAACTTTCCATCGAGGAAAAACTTAACTGGGGCTGTGGGTGACCAAACCTACAGCCCCTGTGGCTTTCCACTGGACAGACCCACTCTTGGGTGCCAGAGCCCAAGGTCCACACGTGGGGGTCCATGTGGTTTCTGCCTGGGGTGTCTGGTCAGACAGCCATGTGTTGTTTCTTCTCCGCTGCACATATTCCCACGCGTACATGGGCAGCTCACACACTGTGCAGACACAGACGTGAGACTCCAGTGTGCACTGGGTCTAAGGACAGCATCTTGGGCTCACACTCTTCCCGGACCAGCTCATGTGGCCCTACCACAGAGCCTGGGGCACCTTGGCCCCTAGAGGCAGTGCTTCTCTGGCTGGGGCAGAGGGATGCAGGGAGAGACTGGAGGGGCCTGCCCTGCCCTGCTCAGGAGGACTCTGTGCTCTGGATGTCTCTGCAGGAAGGGCTGACTCTGGGGGCGTCGGGGTGGCAGGCTCTGTGCCTTTGCATATGCATCTAGAGGGCACATTCCTGTTCCGCATGAGCCAGCTCTGACGATGCCGGGGCTGAACGTGGGTTTGCTTGCGGCAACCCTTCATGAGGAAGCAGCGGGTGGGCGTGGGGGGGAGGCTTCTCATTTCCTGTGACTTAGAGCTCCAGAGACAGACCCTTGTAGGTAAGAACCTAGCAATAACTGTTCCCTGCCTGCCTTAGCATGCTAGATGCTACTGGAGTTCTGATCCTGCCTTTTCTCCTCGAGTCCCCCTTCTGCAGAAAAGGCAGCCCAGAGAGGTTAAATGACTCGCCCAAGGTGGCCCAGCCCTGAAGCCTTCTTGGCCTCCGGGCTGCAGGGGAGGGTCAGGGGTTGATAGATCCCCACTCTGCCTGCCCGCCGGGATGTCTGGGTGCGTACATCGGCACTGGGGCAGCCCTGCTCTGAAGGACCAGAGACAGCGGGGTGTTGCACTGTCCACAGCGGCTGTGTTTCCGGGAGCCCTGAGCCTGGGCTTGCTTCTGCACCAGCAGATGTGGAGCCTCGGGCTCCAGGACAGCCCCGCTGCTCTGATGTTGGCTTTCAAGTTTGTGCAGCACCCAGGGTGCCGCTGGCGGTCCTGCAGGTGGGCATGGGTGCTGTATGGGCCTTGGCTCGGGGAGGCCGGCCTGCCGAGTCTCACCTGTCTCCCTCCTGCCCCCAAAGTGGTGCTCATTGGGGACTCGGGCGTGGGGAAGAGCAACCTGCTATCACGCTTCACCCGCAACGAGTTCAACCTGGAGAGCAAGAGCACCATCGGCGTGGAGTTTGCCACCCGCAGCATCCAGGTGGACGGCAAGACCATCAAGGCGCAGATCTGGGACACCGCCGGCCAGGAGCGCTACCGAGCCATCACCTCGGCGTGAGTGACGGGGCTGGGGCGATGCAGGAAGCCATGCGTGTGGGGCCGGTGGGCCCAGAAGGGTGGGCAGGAGGTGGGCAGGCTCGGTGGGCAGCCGCTCCTTGGCCCAGGATGGAGGGACAGGACCTCCAGGAGTTATGGGACCGTTGGGAAGACCAGTGCCCAGTCCTGGCCATGCTGTGACCCTAGGGTAGACATGTCCTACGGTTCCTCTGAGCCCTGGAGTCCCTGTCCCTTAAGGCACTGTGGTTTCACCGACGCTGGCTGCACCGCGAGGGTTGTTACCCTGGACTGGTCCCCTCTGCCCGCTCCCCAGCCCTGCCTGCTCGCCTGCCCTTGGCCTGCGGGGGAGGGGTGGGTGCCCTGTCCAAGCTTCCCTCAGCTTCCCTCTGCGCTTCAGCTCAGACCCTGTCCCACCCTCTCCCTGTCCTCCCACATAGGCCTGGCATCCCTCGCCTCCCTGTGGTCCCCCGCTACTACCAGGACCCACTGGGGCTGTCTCTCCCTAGACCCTCCCAGCGTCCCGCCACTTCCAGTCAGTCACTTGCGCCCTTGGGACTCCCTCCACTGAGGCCTGGTCACCTTCTCATGCCCCTAATCCCTCGGGGTGGATGGGTGTCTGTCAGTCGCCTTGGTGGTCAGACTGGCCAAGCCATGGTGGGCATCGGGGCTTTTGCCCAGCAGCGGCCCTTTCCTTCTTCCCTTTTGTGACTGACCCTGTGAGGGTCTGCTGACCCAAGTCCCAAGCTCCTTGCTCTGGCCCCATAGTCCTGAGCTGAACCCGGGGAGCAGAGCCAGAACTTGGGGACACACACCCCACCCTCGAGGCTGCAGTGGCCACCCCTCGGGCAGGCTCTGTGCCCCCTGCCCCGTGTGTGGGGGCCAAGGAGCTGCTGCCCACCGAGCCTGGGAGGCCCCTGTGGGTAGCTCACGCGCTGCGCCCATAGGTACTACCGCGGCGCCGTGGGCGCACTGCTCGTGTATGACATCGCCAAGCACCTGACCTACGAGAACGTGGAGCGCTGGCTGAAGGAGCTGCGGGACCACGCCGACAGCAACATCGTCATCATGCTGGTGGGCAACAAGAGTGACCTGCGCCACCTGCGGGCCGTGCCCACTGACGAGGCTCGTGCCTTTGCAGGTGAGTTGTGCCAGGCCGGAGCAGGTGTGGCTGGGGGGGGTGGGGCCTGTGGGTGTCACACGGGGCTGCTTGCCCGGGCCTCCCGCAGGGGCCACATTCCTGAAAGTGGGACTGTGACTGAGGCATCGGAGAGCCATCTGGAAGGCAGGCCCCTGCCAGCTTGCCCTTCCTGAGGTGTGGGCATCCCAGTCCTGTCTCTTTGGCTCCCACCATTCATTTCTTGGCCAGGCAAGCGGGCAAGCAAGCAGGGTCCCTGGGAGGATGCAGGGTAGCCCTCCCCCCCCACCCCCACTGCTCACCTGGGCAATATTCTTTTTGTTCCAGAGAAGAACAACTTGTCTTTCATTGAGACCTCAGCCTTGGATTCCACCAACGTCGAGGAAGCTTTCAAGAACATCCTCACAGGTGGTCACTGGGCCTGGCTGGGGTCATGGTAACCCCAACATGCCCACTGTGGGTGGGCCTGGGAAGGGCACCAGCCACCCCGGTTGCCTGCTCCAGAACACAGTCCCTGAAGCTTTATTCTTGAAACCCGAAAGCCGGTCTGGACATGAGGACAGACATGGCGTGCTTCCTGGGATCAGGCCGGATCCTGAGGACATAGAGACCCCCTCTGCCCTGGCCCCACCCGAGAACAGCCAGCTGGGTCAGCTGCGGGGCCATAGGGCCCCTGGGCTCCTGGGCTCCTGGGCGTTTATTCTGAGGAGGAGGGGCCTCTGATCTTACAGGAGAAGGGGCGCGGCTGGGGGGGGGTAGCTCTGTGACCAGACACGGGTCCCGCCCTTGCTGAGCACCCAGCCAGCACTTGGTGACCGGGTGGGAGCCTCCAGGAGCCCAGCCCCTGCTGTCATTCCCCCCGACATGATGGGGGGACACACGGGGCACAGAGGGGGGCCTTTGAGAGGGGTCTTGGGCTCAGCCTGGGGGGTGCTCCCCAGAGGACACTGAGGTCCAGATGGGTCACCCCGCATTCCCCCACCTGCAGAGATCTACCGCATCGTGTCACAGAAGCAGATCGCAGACCGCGCAGCCCACGATGAGTCCCCCGGCAACAACGTGGTGGACATCAGCGTGCCGCCCACCACCGACGGACAGAAACCCAACAAGCTGCAGTGCTGCCAGAACCTGTGAGCGCCCCGCGGCCCGCCCGCGCGCACGCGCGCGCCTCGTCCTCCGCCAGCCCCGCACCGCGCTGCGCTCCCCTGCCCCGCCCTCTCCGTCCCTCCCATCGAGCTCCGCATGGCTGGCTGCGGCCCCTGAAGAACAGGAGTCATCGAGTGGCAACTGCTGTCCCTGCTCGAGGAAAGCCAGACGCCCGGGTCACCGCGCCTGCTCTTCTCGGGTCCCAGTGTGCATCTCGGCGGGCCAGGGAGGGTGGCAGGCTGCACGGGGCCGACCAGAGGCGAGGAGGAGGGGCGCGCCCAGCGGGCTTCTCCAGTTTTCCACGGCAGACTCCAGGGAGCGACGGCCTCCCTCCCTCTGTGGCCGGTTGGCCCCACTGGCCCCCCTCCCCCCAGTCCCCACCCAGAACCCCCTTCCGAGCTGCTGCTCGAAGAGCAAGGCGCCAGGGGGCCGGGGCAGGCGGACACTCTGGGCTCCCGGCCCCCTTGCTCCCCCCCACACAGCCAGCACCCGCACACGCCTTCGACGTCTCCCGCGCGTGCGCGACCAGCTCCTGCCTGTAGATTTGTGCTGGGAGAAGACCCCTATCCCCCCCTCACCCTCCTTTTGCACGCAGCGCGCTCTCCAGCCCCTTCCTGGGCCCCTCTCTGTCTTGTCTCCCGTCTGGTCAGGAACCTGTTTGCAAGTGAAGCAATATCTCCGTGTTTTGTATATACAACCGCTCTTGTAGCCTTTGGTTTTTTTGTTATTGTAGAGAAACACAGATTCTTTATACACTTTGTAAGATTGACGCCAAACCCCAGCTCTCGACCTCTTATTCTCCCTGTGGCCCATGCACTGTTGCCCCGATGCCTCGTTTCTTCCGCCCGTTACTAAAATGTATAATCCGACTTCCTGTACAGAAACCTGCCGCTGCGCCTTTGTCTTCATTCTCTCCGCCAGGCGGCCACGGCTGGGCCAGGGCTTCCCGAGGCACACGTCCCGCTGCGGGCTGCGTCGGCCCGGCTCAGCCCCGCAGGGAGCTGGAAGAGCAGGTCCAAGCGCCACCCGGGACAGTGCGGAGGCCCACGAGCTGACCACGGGGGCCTTGGCCTGCGGGGGAGGGGTGGGTGCCCTGTCCAAGCTGCCCCTGTGGCTGGGGGATGTACTCAACTTCTTCTCGGCCCAGGAGCTGAGGGTGCCTCCTAGCAGGGGCTGACCTGTGCCCGCTGCTCCCCATTCCCAGCCCTGGGGTTGGACTGTCCTCGCTTCCATCTGCTGCCCACGGCCGCCGCCTCCCCTGGGGTCTCATCAAGGACACGCAAGAGGGACTCGACCAGGGGATGTTGGTGATACCGGCGCCACTCCAGCTCTCCCCATCCCAGGCTGCCCTTTAAGGAGGGCCCAGTGGGAGGACACTGGTGCCAGAGGGGAGGCAGGCGGCCTGGAGTTCCTCTGCCTCTCCCCAGGATCCAGCTTCTCCCCTGGCCTGAGGGCCATTTGCCACTATGGTGGAAGTGTTGCTATCCCCCTCGCCTTCCCCCAATCCCTGCCCTGACCATGTGACCCAGTAACTCCTCTCTCACCTGAGTGCCTGCAGCTGTTCTAGAAGCTCTACCCTCTGGCTGAAGCCACTTATGCCCTTGACCCCTTGAAGAGCCACCAGAGACGGGGGTCTACTTCTCCCAATGCCAGGCTTTGGCCGCTCTGCCTGGAGAGCTGGGCAAACCCAGGCAGTCTTTCCAGAAGGGCCCTGAGCCACAGGGGGCTGTTCCCATAGGGGAGTTGGAGTGAGGCAGGGTGTGTGCTCCAGGCCAGGGGGCGTCCTGAGCCAAGGCCAGCAACAGGACAGCGGCAGATCTGGTGGGGCCACAAACACTCCAGGGACCATTCACTCAGACCCTGGGGGTGCTGAATCTGGATTTGGGCAAGGTGGGCGTAGGGAGGACAGAGGGTGGGCAGAGGCTTCAGGCAGGCTGGGTGAAGTAATGAGGCACCCTGGAAGGCAGTCCAAAGATCAGATCTTTCCTGAGCCTCCATGGACTGGCCGGGCCCGAGGCACATACCAGGGAACAAGACTGAGATGACATTGTCCCCTTGGGGGTTACAGTCCAGCGATGCTGTTTCAGTTACTCTGATTTCAGTGATGTAGTAAGCCCAGCATGTACACTCGGTGCCAGGCACTGTTCTTAAGTCTTTTTTTTTTTTTTTTAATGGTGATAAAATACACAACATTAAATTGGCCATCTTGACCACTTTTCTGTGTACAGCTCAGTGGCATTAAGTATATTCAGTGTTGAGCAACCATGCCCACCCATCTGTCTCCAGAACTCTTCATCTTGCAAAACTGAGACTCTGTCCCCGTGAAGCATCATCTCCCCACCCCCTGCCCCATCCCAGGCTCCCACCATCTACTTCCTGTCTGTGAATTTGACTCCTCTAGGGACCTATAAGTGGAATCCTACAGTATTTGTTCTTTTGTGACTGGCTTATTTCACTTAGTATAATGTCTTCAAGGTTCATCCACGTTGTAGCAGGTGTTAGAAGTTCCTTTTTAATAAAAGGCTGAATGATCGTCCATTGTATGGATAGTCCACTTCTTGTTTATCCATTCATCCATCGATGGATATTTGGGTCGCTTCCACTTGCTGGCCATTGTGGATCATGCTGCTGTGAACACGGGTGTACAGATAGAGGTGTTCAGGTCCCTGCTTTCAGTTCTTTTGGGTAGATAGCCAGAAATGGAATCGCTGGGTTATAGGGTGACTCTGTGTTTAATTTTTCCACAAACTGTGTTAACCTAAATAAATTACGTCATTTAAAAGTGGAGAGAGGGGCGCCTGGGTGGCTCAGTTGGTTAAGCGTCTGCCTTCAGCTCAGGTCATGATCTCAGGGTCCCAAGTTGGGCTCCCTACTCAGTGAGGAGTCTGCTTCTCTCTCTCCCACTGCTCCTCCCCCTGCCACTTGTGTTCTCTCTCTCTCTCTCAAATAAATAAAATCTTGTTTTTGTTTTTGTTTTTTTTTAAAGATTTCATTTATCTTTTTTTTAAAGATTTTATTTATTTCTTTGACAGAGAGACAGCGAGAGAGGGAACACAAGCAGGGGGAGTGGGAGAGGGAGAAGCAGGCTTCCCGCCGAGCAGGGAGCCCGATGCGGGCTCGATCCCAGGACCCTGGGATCATGACCTGAGCCGAAGGCAGACTCTTAACGACTGAGCCACCCAGGCGCCCCTCAAATAAATAAAATATTTAAAAAATAAATAAAAGTGGAGAGAATAGTCTAACTCCCATAAGCCCACTACCCAACTTCAACCAATCTGGTTTCACCCCATTCTCTTCCTGTGTGCAAATCCTGGACATATTCCCCCTCTAAATATTTCTTTTATTTTTTTATTTTTTAAAGGTTTTTTTTTATTTATTTGACAGAGAGAGACACAGCAAGAGAGGGAATACAAGCAAGGGGAGTGGGAGAGGAAGAAGCAGGCTTCCTGCTGAGCAGGGAGCCCGATGCGGGGCTTGATCCCAGGACCCTGGGATCATGACCTGAGCTGAAGGCAGATGCTTAACGACTGAGCCACCCAGGCGCCCCTCTTTTTTTTTTTTTTTTAAGATTTTATTTATTGATTTGACAGAGAGAGCACAAGTGGGGAGGGGGGGAGTGGCAGGCAGAGGGAGAGGGAGAAGCAGGCTCCCCGCTGAGCAAGGAGCCTGATGTGGGGCTTGATCCCAGGACCCCGGGATCATGACCTGAGGCGAAGGCAGACACTTAACCGACTGAGCCACCCAGGCACTCTCTTTTTTTAAGGAGATTTTAAAAAAGATTTTATTTATTTGAGAGAGAGAGAGAGAACAAGCAGGGGGAGGGGCAAAGGGAGAGGGAGAAGCAGGCTCCCAGCTGAGCAGGGAGCAACTGAGTCAGCCAGGCACCCCGACATTATTTAAAGAATTTTTAAAAACCCCGGTAAATGGATTTTTTTAAAGGTTTTATTTTATTTTTTTAAGGAATCTCTATACCCAACGTGGGTCTCAAACTTGCAACCCTGAGATCAAGATTCTCATGCTCTACCGGCTGAGCCAGCCAGGCTCCCCCCAGTAAATGGATTTGAACATTTGATGTGTTTATTTATTTATGTATTTATTTCTTTATTAAGATTTTATTTACTTATTTGACAGAGAGGGACAGAGCGAAAGAGAGAACACAAAGCAGGGGGAGTGGGAGAGGGAGAAGCAGGCTTCCCGCAGAGGAGGGAGCCCGATGCGGGGCTTGATCCCAGGACCCTGAGATCATGACTGGAGCCGAAGGCAGACGCTTAACGACTGAGCCACTCAGGCTCCCCTTAACATTTACTGCACCCATTACCCTTATTGGAGGGCAAATCATCCCACTTGTGGCCAGTGAGAGCTTTTTCTAGTTGACTCCCACTGACACTACCTTACTAGGTAATGTCTTTGAGAACGCCTGCGCTTTCTGGTATATCAGATTGAGTCAGGTTCATCTTGTACATTTCCTGCCCCGGACCCAGAATCAGGTATTTCCCCAGCGTTCCCTGGTTCGTTCAATTGGAAGTGATATTTAGAGACTATGATCTGGGTTTAAGGAGTGCTGATGGCAACAAAGTCAGTCTTTGTTTCAGACCTTTTCAGTGGACAGAGCTAGGAAATGTTTGCTTTTTTGCAAAGATAAAATATATTGTGACGCTCCCAATTCAAGTTCAAAACCATAAGGTTTTTATTAGCATAATCAACCTTATGTCTGTACCTCCTTCACTCCCTCTGAAAATCCCAGTCCTTGACATGAAGGTATTACTTTGTTTTTGCTTTATGCAAAACTAAATATGCAACAGGCTCAGAATAACAATTGCAACATCACCATCAACAATATAATGGTGGTATGTAGGGTTAAATTGTCGTTTTAAAGTCACTAGACGTTCATCTCTCTGTTGTTTTGTCACCAACTGGATACAGAAGTTTCTCTGTTTTATTTTCATTTTTAGGGCTACCTTTACACTTTAAAATTTGTTTTATAATTATATGCAATATTTTACATGGTTGTAAAGCCAAATATATAAAACAAGGTATATTTTCAAAAGTCTAACTTGTATCTCTGTCCCCTTCCTCCTTCTTCTCTCTAACCTTTTAAACAATGTTATGATTTATCTTTTCACCTCTGAAAAATAAAGCTAGTACAACACAACAGAATGTAACTGAGGTAATCGAATTGCCCCATATATTTCATAAAGGCAGGGCAGGAGGGGAGAGGAGTACTGAGGCAATTCTCCATCCTACCTCAGGCCCTTTGCGTGTGCCTGAACCCTCTGCCTGGGATTCTTCTCCCCTCTTTTCTCTTAGTTCCCCTCTGCTCTGTATCAGTTGTCAGTTCAATTGCTTCTTCCTTAAGGCAGTATTTTTGGACTTTCCAAATTATTCCATGATATGTCCCCCTCACTTGCTACAATTTATTACTTTTGTAATTAAGAATTACACAACTGGTTAATTCCCTAGGTTAAGGTCCATGAAGGCAACAGTATTTGTCTTAATTCTGTGTCCCCAGAGCCTAGTACAGTGCCTGGCTCATAACAGGCCCTCTTATTGATCTTTATTACATCTAGTGAATGAACCTATTGCATGAATGAATGAGCAAGTGAATGATGAATAAATGGCGTTGGCTTTAGGCTCTTCCACGGCCCCCTAACCTCTCTAGGCTGCCGTTTTCCCTCTGTAAAGTGTGATCATACGGTTCGTCTCTCTTTCCCTCCCAGAATTAATGAGAAGCATATGGGAGGTGATGAACACTTACAAATCCCTTAGCTGGGTGTCCCGTTCAAGTCTGTAACGGTTAGCTAGCACTGGTCGTCGGCAGGTGGCGCCACCAACCCCGCTCGTGCCCCCTGCCGGGATGGGGCGGGGTCAGGGTTGGGGGTGGAGT